CGTATAATTCTTGGATAAATTTTAATGTACTAGTTTAAACAATATATTTCACACATACTTTATATTTAAGTGATTAACATTCTGTCTATTCCTACAGCCACTGAGATTTTCATAACTACTGAGCAAACAGGTTTCCATGACTTCTCTCCTGCTGTAACAATTAGCAGATCTAAAATTCGTTTTACTTTAAGCCACCAGTCTTGATTTGTGACTAAGTAAATATCACTACAAAGACTGTTAAACCTTATTTATGTTTTTATATTTACTGAGTAAAAAAGGTTGTTTGCAAGTCTGGAATTGGAAAGTTTCAGAACATTTGCAAATAGGAGTGCCCTGACAACCTCAGGAGCAGAAATGAAGGAAGGAAATAAGACAGTCAACTGCAGAAGTTTCAAACTTCAAACACAATTGGGTGACCTTGGTCTAAGATCTTCTTGCCTAGAGAAACAAGGCAGCACTGGGAACTGCCTTCTGACAGACAAGAATTATGCTGCTGTGCAGCGTATGATGATCCAGTTACTTAAATACACTTTTGACTGCTGACTGTTTTCTAACAATGTTTTAATCTCAAAGTTCTAGCTTTAATTTCAAACTCTTCAATGCTTTCTTTCTAAAACTTAACTATCTGTATATCGAATTGCTGCAAAGTGCAGCAACTTCACTTTTAACCTTCTGCACTCAACCATCATCGTGTCTAACGATGTCTGAACCACAGGTCGGACTCTGAGGCCAGATATTCCATCTCGTTTTGTCAGGTGGTCGGGCAATTAATTGCCCTTCTTCTGTCTCATATATAATAATGTCATTGGTGCAATTTACCCCTTCCTGCTAAGTTGCACAACTGTTTCCATGTAAGTATGTACTGTCACAGTCTATCAAAAATGTCAGGAGATCATTGTAGGGTTATTACAAGAGCTAATGACAAGGTGGATACAACAAAGTAGCTATTATTTGAGTCGAAGAATTCAGCAGATTGTGCTGTAGCATTGTGGACAAAATTTTAGACTTGAAATTAAACAATGCAGATGGTCCATGAGTAATAAATGAAACCAGCCTAGCCAGAGAAACACAATGAGAAAATGGGTCCTTCTGGAATTGGTAAAGAAGCATTTTTATTATGGAAATAAAATGACACTGAAAATACAGTTTGGGATCAGAAATACGGTAAATCTTATCATTAGTAATATTATTTTATGCTTTCTCAACTGTGAAAATTTTACTACTTAATCAAGTAAATCAATTCAATAAATGTTGCTACTTGTCACTTTTAGCACCTTTCACAGAAAAATCCCTGCCTGCTCTGTAAGCAGCTGTGAGAGCAACCTCCTGGGTGAAAAGTGAAAACAAGATATTCCACCTGTGGAATTCAGCTCACAAACATTTTGCTTTTATGTAAGCAGAGATATATAATATAAACAACTGCAACATCTAGCAGAAGGCAAATCCCAGCTCCTGTTACTGCTCAGTAACTGTTGTAGGAAAGTATTATCACCACTGTAAAGGAAAAATATGCAATGTCAGAAGCATGTTTGATGTTAATTGCTATGCTCCATTTTCAGGAATGAGTGGGAAAAGAGGACTAACAAGAAAAAAAAAAAAGTGAAAAGTTTTGTCTCATGACTGAGCGGCCACTACTTGATAAAGTCAAACAACTGAGTGAGAAGCCACAGCTAAACACTGAAAATGCCTGCAATTTAGTGGTTTAAATAGTTCTACGTTTCTTTGAACAAAACACGGCATCCTTTGTAAAAAATAAAAAATCCCCAAATGAAGTTCTTGGTTTCCTTTCCCAAACCTGTCTTGCCATAGCAAGCTCTTATATAGATCTCTATATCTTATATAGATCTTAAAATCATCTGTGGTACAAAAGAAGTGATGAAAAAGAAAAAGGTGGAGTTCTCTCTCCCTACTCCTCTATCCTTCCATTTTTGCATTGGAGCCTCGATTTATCTTTTCACAACAGGAGTGAGATGTCGTCTGTATCACAGTCACAACAAGCAGTAAGCATACCAACATTTCTAGTTGCTAAAAACTTACATGGCAATCCACTTTATCACATGCCTTAAGGAACCACCTCTATTTCTTTTAAAGTATCACTAACCCTTCAATTTCATGAGTACTTTTGTTGTAAACGCATGAGAATGTAATACTTCTAATAATAGTTTTACAGTAAAGGATTCCTGAAGCAGTCATGAAAACCTCCACTACATGGGGTTTTTTTGTTTGTTTGTTTTGTTTTTTGTTTTCTTTTGTTTTTAATTTGGTAGTAATCACTTTTCCTTTTAATCTGTGTGAGAAACATGAGGGAAAACAACCTGTTGCAATCAGTTCTGCATACACGCCACTATTCCACATTCAAGTTCAAAGCACCTAAATCAAACTGTGTGTTGAAAGAAAGAAAAAAAAAAATTAAGACGCACAAAATGTGCACTATTTGCCTAGAATCAAATAAAAAAGAAAACATAGGATAATGAGGAAATTTATTTTAATTTTTAATACTTTTTTAAAAAGAATCTGTATTTCTGTTGAAATCTGAGATACTCGAAATTTTTATGGTTTTAAAATAAGTACAAGAGTTTCCCAATGCTAAGCATAGAGTAATGGCAACATACTACCAAATTACAGAAGTTGTGTAGACAAAAGGAACAAATATTATTTATTTTTAGCTTAGACCCTGTTCTGCAGGTCAAAAATTTTAATTGCATTCGTTGTGAGTACTCCTAGGATGAGATCAGCATGCAAATAAAGTTAAACTTCACTATACCAGACAATACAGGAAATGTAAAAGTAACACTATGTCCACTGCTCCCAACATCACCAAGAGCACTTGTCCATTCACTTTGATCAAGTCTATGAATTAACAGGAATATCCTTAACAGCATATTTAGTACTCTGCTGTAGAGGGCCTTAAAGAAATATTTAGCACCTGCTCTAAACCCAGGGTTTATGCTTTTTCAGGACGATATAATCTAAACTCATCTCTTTTTCTCAGGCACATTTGCTTATTTTCAGTCCTAAGGAAAAATCCCTCCTCAGATTTTACATTTCAGACTACAAGATCACAGATGACACACCACTTATTCAATCCTGAAGTAAAATTAGAGGACAAATAAACTTCTGGAAATTCACTAACAGACTGTATTCTTTTTCTATAAGAGCGACATATGACGTGTTTAGCAGAAGTTCTTCATTTTCTCATGTACACTGCAACTTGTTTCCTGCTTTTTCTTTCTCCCCAAGAGGGGTTATAGCAAGTGAAAGGACACAGCAGTATATTCTGCTGCCATCCGGGGGACCCGGACTTCAAGAATGATCTAAATTCTCTTTCTTCTTTGGCCAATAAATACAAAGCAAGCGAAAAGGTTTTGTGTGTTTGGTGGGGGGAGGAGTATCTATACATCCTAGAAGTCTCTGTCTATTGGATGGTGCAGGGACAGCGATGTAAAACAGTTTGATTTCCTCTTGAAAGCATAATACCCTTTAGTCCTATTTGATGCAGGTTCATCCCTTTCAACTTCTTTTACGGCAGTGACACCATCCAGTTTCAAGGAACTGAAGTCAAACCACTTGCTTTTCAGATACCATCTAACACTGCTATAACACTCCGCAAAAACCTGGCTTACTGTTGCCACAAATCTGTAATAAGGAATGTGCAACGTGAAACTTCTGTGTGGTCTAACCCAATACTGGCATAGACTACAAGAGGTAGGCACTGTGGAAACAGAAAAAGAAAACAGAAAGGAGGGGCAAATGATGGCACTGTCAAAATCAGGAAAAGTGAGCATTAAAGTTCCATGCTGTGGAAGATGTATCAAAGATCCTGAATCAAGAGATATCAGTTCTACATAACAACCAGGAACCTCTCAAGGATGAACAAACAGAAAAGAAAGCAGGGGTCAGGAAAGAAGCAAACAAAAGAATGAAGGTCCTGACCTAACAATACCAAAATCAACACAAAATCAAGAATCCACAGATAATGAAAGAACCCAGATCCCTACGATGGTGACCCAGCATCACTCTGCCTATGTTTTTGAGTAAATATAGCTATTTGATCTCACTGTGGGCTTCCTTGCCTTTAAGCACTAGTTGGTGAGCTCATCAATGTTTTTTCAACAAAGAAACCAAAGTGATGAGAGTTGGCAGATGTCAGCTGTCAAGCAGCAGTGCAAGGGCTAAATTTTACTTTGATATATACATGCATAGCATCAGAGAATTAATGTGTGCTGACGTTATCCAAGTTTTTCACCTCAAATTCATGAATTTTTCTCTAATAATAAATAGCATATGCTAATGAAACCTGAATTTGTCCCATTGCTAAAAGCCTGCACACTTCACTTAGTCATTGTTTACAGTTCTAGCTCATGGTCCGATCTGTTGGAACTCACACACAGCAATTCCACTTCTACAAAAGGATGTCATAAAGATAGATTAATTCATAATAATGGACTTCGCCAAATCGAAAGGGATACTAAAGCCTCTCTTATTATTCCAGAATGGCAAAGGAGTGGGAGATGGGTCAATCGGTTCCTCAGTTATACCATCCCATAAAAGGTTAAAAAATAAAAATCTCTCTAAGCTTGTGGAGATGTACTTAAATCTGTGTAACACATATGGCAAAAGTTAAATAAATGGGCTGTCTTCTCACAGGAAATTACACTGTTCACCATCAAGGAGAATGTTAAGGAATCTACGTTTCTCCCCTGCAGAGAGATAATGAACCCATATCGTTCCATTTATCATACTGAAGAAATACTGTACAAGTAAGTCACTCCACAGGTGTGCTCCTTTCTCCACATTTGCATATAACATGTAACCACTGCTCATTGGTGCATGCAGTTTCAATGGTATTACTTTACAGATAACTGATATTCTTCTAATATTTTAAACCTATCAGCTGTCACTTTCTGTTTATTGACATATCCTTAAGAAGGAGAGAAATATTTTATAATTGTGACAAATATAGAACTCATAGCTTCCTTTCTGCAAAGTACATTTCCTACCTGAAGGAGGAGGTCAGAAGCTGGTTTGACCCTTTGCTGGAAAAGCACACTTAATGTTCGATTCTGTTGTTCCAAATCAAAAACTCTCGTCTTCAGCTTTATACATTCCTCCCTCAGATCCTACAGAACAAGGGAAAACGGGAAGATTAGAAAGCAGGTAACACAAACTCCTTTAAAAAGTCTATGTAATGACAGATAGTAAGAAGAAATTAAGAATTTAGAACAGTTCAGTTGGAAAGGACTTACAAAGATTCAACTGCTTGATGATGTCAGGACTAACCAAAACTTAAAACATATTATTGAGAACATTGTCCAAACACCTCCTGAACACTGACAGGCATGGAAAATCAACTTTGATATACATAAACAACATATACAGCTTTTAAAATAGTACAAATCAGAAAAACGTGCTACTTCATTTTTTTCTGGTTGTTTCATCACAATAAGATCAATCACAGCAACATCAAAAAAATCTTGTAATGAGAAATAACAGTTACATGATACATCCTCTTGGTGTTTCCTGTCAGTACAAAAAGGGACTTTGTTATAGTATATATATATAATTTATGTATCCTATTCAAAGCAGAATGCGGCAATTGAAATATGAATATTATAGTAAGCATAAGCTAAGGAAAAAGCTTCAGCTGTACCACATCAGGAATAAGTTGAAAGAAGCACAGTGCCTTCAAGGTACTCTTCTGAAGTCTCATTCTACATCTGCTTTTTCTGGAATAATCAAGTCAGCAATGCTGGCTGGCATGCTGTGGATGGTCCACACCTCCCTCCATGCAACTAGTCACTGTAGGATGCCAGGCCACAGTAAAATGTTGACTCACCAGACATACTTATGAAACCAATCCCGCCTGCCATTCCAATACGAGACACCAAGATATCTTAAGATACACCACTTAGATCAGAGGTAATGTGTAAAGGCTGTTAGAAGCAGAGGCGGTGTGAAACTTTTGCAACATAAGGCATAAGATATAACTGCCAAAACTGAAAGATGCAGATCCTTTAGCCAAGGCTATGTCAGGTTCATCACAAAGAAATTAATGGCTTCCATATGTAGCAAATGATCTACCTTCTTTTTAATGTAACATAGGACTTACTTTTTCTGGCCGTAGAGAGGAAGAAAGGATTTTATTGGAAAGAAGGCTTAGGAGAGAGCAAGCTGAACCTGACATTAAGTTCTTTACTATGAGAGTGGTGAGGTGCTGGAACAGGCTGCCCAGAGACGCTGTGGATCCCCGTCCCTGGAGGTGTTCAAGGCCAGATCGGATGGGGCCCTGGGCAGCCTGGTCTAGTATTAAATGGGGAGGCTGGTGGCCCTGCTTGTGACAGGGGGGTTGGGGATTCATGATCCTTGAGGTCCCTTCCATCCCGGGCTATTCTGTGATTGCCTTTCCACCTAATTTCTGCAGCTGTCTACTTTGAGGTATGGAAGCTTCATAAATCAGGAAGAGTCATTTGCAAATTAAGATCACATACAAAAATAATAAGCTGCAGCCATTATCTAGTTTTATTTAAACCTCCAAAATGCTTCCCTTTAGGCTTTTATATTTAGGATAGTTGCTGCCCTGTGGTATTGCCTAACTGGTTTTACTTTTTACCACATTAAGGCAGTGAAACAGGCCTATGGATCCCCATACAGGGTCCTGTCAGTACCATTATCAACATAATAACCTCATGAGAAAACAACAGGGGAGGAAACTGTAGTCAGAAGTAGCCTAAATTCTTGGCTAAGGTAGCTCATGTCTTCACAACCAGCACTGAGGTTACAAGAGGTGAACACACAACCAAGTAGGCTCATCTTCAGACTTTTAGAAAATTCTGAGTGTCTTTTTATGCCTGTAGTGGGCATCAGGTTTTATGATACTACTAGATGAATGCAGTTATTTTCTCTTGATAGCTTCTCAGCTTAATATTTGTTTTAAGCGGCTGTCAGGCTGCCCAAGTAAAATTGCTATAGCCTTCTAAGGTAACCCCCTTTTGAATCTGATGCTTTGTAAAAATCTAAAGCTTTGATTTAGTCAGTGAGAGCTCTCTTATCTCTGGTCTCACACAAAGCAATCTCTAGGAGCATCAAGACCCATCATTATCTGCCTTTTACAAATAATCACAGAATTTAAAACAGAGCCTTAGCTGTTACAGCGTTGCTTAACTTTTCAACACAACTAAGTGCACTGAGAGGGAAAAATTATTCACAGAAACTGAATATGTAGAAAAAAATTAAACCTTAGCGATGCCCTTGCTCAAAACTTTCTTGTTTTACACTGTTAAATCCTTAAGATTTATGTTTCATGCTTTAGACTTCCTGTAAAATGTGAAATATAAGACAGTAGATTACCTCTCTAGATGCTATAAAGTGGTAATGCCACTCATAGTACAGAGCAGAAATGAAGAACATTAAGGTAGCAGTATTCCAGTAAAATGAAGTCTCAGTTGAAGTTCTAAAATTACCAATTAATACAACTATCAAATGTCTAAAACTTCTTATCCCTCTCCTGAGGACAAAATGAGCAGCTAGTCTCCAAGATACTTGAGGTACTCGTTCCTGTACTCTCACTGTAGCAGTAACTGAGCATCTCCCCATTCTTACCAGCATCAGGCTCATTCTGCAAAATGCTCTTCCTCCAAACACACTTTTTCTTTTTTAATACTTCATTCAATGCCTTTTTATTTTATTGATAAAAAAGGAGAAATATATTTCCTACAGAACCCAAAATAAAAGCTCATTGACCTCAACACCTCTATTAAGATAGTATGCCAAGAGCAAGTACACAGATCACAGGATAATTTCATTAAGTGGTGTAAGTCAAATTTCAAACTGCTGATCTAGGTCTTAAATAAAGAAAATATAAATAAAAAATACAATGTCCAGCACTCCTATTCTTTCATGTGATATGAGGAGTCTTTAGGTAGAAGGAGAGAAGAGAAAGAACAGATGCTTCTAATAAGTACCAGAGCATGCAGGTTTGTATCACATCAATTTGTTGGGTTTTTTTTATCACTTCTTAAATTTCCCAGAGGTAAAATTTTCTATTAGTAAGTCATAGAATCCATATAATTTTGGTACACTGAATTGTGAAATTTTGCTGTGCGGCTAATTCAGCACAAACCTCAATTTAATATAGTTTCTCCATGAAGTCTCAGTGAAAAAAAGATTCCTGCATTAGAGAAATTCTATATGTATTGTAACAAACGATAAACTTGAAAAGCGCACATTTAAGACTGTAATTCCATTTCAAGGTTTCAGTGACATTGATAAATCACTCAAGCTTTGCTCACTCAATTTGTGTCACCAGAATCTCTCGGTGGAATCACAGTCCTTCCACATACTGGCAAGTATGCAGCGCTTTATTCGTTGCATTACAGCATGTACTTAATTTAAACAAAAATTAGTCCTTGAGGGACAATTTCAAATTCACAGTAAAGCCTACGCAGTGTGCGTTACTGTGCAGAATCACTCCTCTCCATTTGCTGAAAGCTCTTAGCTTTTCCTCATGTCTCGCTATGCCCCAGAGGTGTGTTATCTCACTGTGGCATGACTGGCTCTGTCTGACTGCTTAGCTGCACTACAGCAGATTTATCTGTTTACTGGTTACTATTTGGATTGAAGTACCTACCTATTTGGAACTGGTGTAAGGAGCCTGGTTTCCATTTTACTGTAAGCTATTGTGCTCCTGTCTTTTCTTATCAAATGATTTGCATGAATGGTGTCAGGAGCACTGTAACAGTTAATATTCATTAGCATTTAGAAGAGTACCCTCTATCCTCATTCCATGGATATTAAATTAGCTGTTATTACTCAGTAATAGGTAAGCAGCTGTTAAATCCCATCAATACTAACTAAATCATTTATTAAATGTATTGAAATCTGTTTTTATTGTGTACATATGAACTCCTTGGTTCCTATGAGTTTGGGAAGTTTCATTACTGAGAAAGTATAAATTGCCTGATGCCTTTGGAAAAGGACTTGGTAAGCTCCTCTCTCCATCAGAAAACATCCATGATACTCCCAAATTGGATATTAATATACTGAGATTAACCTGGTAAATTATTACTCACATATATTACAAACCGTGGATTGGGTTTTTGTGTGTATTAATATGTCAGAAAATGCCTATATTTTCAGCTAAGTCGTGCTGAAACACGTTTGGAATTTTTAAAAAACAGCTGAAGTTATGTTTCCAAGAAGTGTTACAGCAATAGCTCTGTTGACTGCAGTCCTCTGATGATACACAGACCATACAGCATATGTGTATATGAAGCACAGGCAGAACAGTACAGCACAGACAGCAGCAGTGCAAACTTGTCCATATGTTGTGGATTGCACAGACCACGTTCAAGTTACAACACTCCTAATTGCTGTGGCAATATCTCTCTTCTACAGCAAAAGGCTTTGTTGTGCTTCAAAAAACCATGGCATCCAACAATGTTATATTCATCACTAACCTGTGGGAGCAACAGCTCTTGGGTGAAGAGATTCAGGGAACACTCTCGCTTCTGGATTTCTGATTTCGGGAACCCAAACTGGCAACTGCAGCTTCTAGATTCTTGAATCATTCACCCATAAGGCACCTTTGCATATCTCTTAGGTTTGTCAAGGTCATTTAAGGTCCTAAAGTTGTTTCCCAAATACATTGCTACATTTGCATCTGGAAAATTTTCAGGTGTGTGACAGAAGTTTTTCATTATCTTAGCTTGGTGTTTCTTGCTGCATTTTAAGAACATTATTTCTTTTCCTGTCATTCTATGTAGACAAAACAGTTTATATTCTTCCTTGCATTATCTGCACTAAAATACTGTATTTATGTTCCTTTCAGACTTGTCTTTTTGAAGCTAAATGATCCAAAACATTTTAATAATTGCACATTCATCAAGTGTTCTAGATCGCACAAAGAATCATTTCATGAATATTGCAGGCTTTATAGCTTATTATAAATCTTTATGCCTTGTTTCTTTTTTCTTTTTCCACCTCAAGAAAATGACATCACGGAATCATGCTCAAGTTAAAAAACATTTTTTTTTTCTGTAGAATTGTTGCTGTACCATTTAATCCCTATTCTCTACGGATATCCAATTATTTCTGCTTATATGTAATTACCTCACTTTTCTCTCTGTTGAATTCCATCTTCCCCCCCCCCCCAAGATCACATCTTCATTTTGCCACAGTCATTTTTAATTTTACTCCTTGGATTACACTACATCTGAAATTACCAAACATCATATTCAGCAATCCGGAGCGTGAATGGAAGGTTCAGACATGACTTGATCTGGAACAGACCTTACAGAAGCTGTAGTGATGCTTTTCATTTTTAAAGATTTGCAACAGAACTGCAGGGGTTTTGTCCAGATGCTATTTCCCTTGCTTATCCAGGAGAATGGAATGTTAGCCCATTGAAAAACAAAATACATGATCTTTATTGCTGGTCCCCAGCCCACAAGTCAAGTAGCCAAACCTCCACGCAGGCTCACACCAGGAAGTCTTTCCTTCTGTTGGATGTGACTGAGAGTGCCAACTGCTGACTTGCACTGTTATTTATTTATATGTCACACAGGAATGGGCAGTGGGGCAGTCATAGCTCGTTAGCATAGGGAATGGAAAAGTGACAGTCTGGGAAGAGTTTTCTGACTCTGTTGGCTCAGCACAGGAAAACAGTAAGAACTGTATATGGCTGCTATATGATCAAGCCTTGAAAATGTGTGGTTTCATGGACTTTTATTCACCTGGATTAAAAAATCCTTAAATTTGGGGCTGACTGATAATTAAATGTGTGAGTATTGTTTAAAAAAATATAACCTATATAAAATATATATCTCTCAAATGACCAATGAACTTTATGTTACAGCAAAATACCCAAACATAACTTACCTTTTGAGTAAGTAGAGCCTGAACGACCTGATTAGCTACCTGAAAGAAACAGATAATATAATTTAAGTACATGATCATATGAGTTTATGTGTACTATCTTCTGCTATGGCTTTATATTCCACTTTCTGCCTAAACCACCCCTGATTCTATACTTCCACTATTTACTAATATTTTCATCAGATAGTGCTAGTGAGAATATATTAAATGCAAGTGATTACTTCTGTGCTAGTTCTCACTATAAACCAACACTATCAATTTTAGTTTGTTTAACTTCTGCCATCCCTTCTATGGAGAAGACTGAAACTTTCCAGATTTATATACAGCTGTTGTGCGTCAGCACAGATTGACTTGCATTCACTAGAGCTGCTTTTTACCAGCTGAGGAGTCCTGAATGTTTTCATGAAGTTTAATTGTTTCTTGATTCAATATTGACAAAATGGTAAATCTATCATGACAAGCAGAAACCATAAAGTGCCACAGAAAATTAAAGTACCTACTGTCATCAAAATGTGGTTGGAAGGCATTCACACTGCACAATTTAATTGACTTGAATGACATTACACACCATTGATTAGCAGAACTATATATTCAACAGGGAATTTTGGAAGTTATTTATGTTATGTATCTTTTCTAATTTATATTTACCAGCAGGCATGGAGGGTGTGAAGGAGGAGAAATGGAAAGAAGGGCAAAAATAGGATTTCTGTTGATGTTTAACTTGCGCATTACATTTCTAATGTAGTGTAAGTGTTGAAACTAATTCACTTCCGTGAAATGATTCCGTTCTGTTAGATGCAGAAGTTACATTCAATTCAAACTCTCACAAAATTGCCCAGTGTCAGTTTTTTTCTCCAAGCTGGTCCCTAACTTAAGGCAGCCTGTGGAACAGCAGTCCCATAAATTTGCTCTGCACATGATTTAACAGAAGACATAGACTGATATTAGAACAGTAATAAGCAACAGAAGTAAATACGTTACAGTTCTGAAAAAACACATCCCTTGCTCTCAGAATCTACATCCCACAGTGTTCCTTCTGGAATGTACTTTCAATGTCTGTTTGCTCTACCTGAAAATTGAACAAACCATATCTAATACATTATTTCTTCACTTTCTGACGTGGATTTACTGTACCTAAAAGAACTGGAAGGTTCTTTGAAGTGTGTACAAGTCACTTGCAACAGAATTGCCCTACACAATTACTCCTATGCCTTTATATATTGAGCAGAGGAGTGTAAATTGCATGATCTTCCAAATGGGAAAAACTGAACTTGCCAATGCATAGGGGAGAAATTTTCTAACTTTGAGTATATGAAGTTAGGTACCTAAATGAAAGTACTTGCCAGTGATCCATAGCTCCCACAGACCCCAGTAAGAAAGATATGTAGCTAGTTTCTTTACAAAAGTAGGCTATTTCATTCTAGCATCTAGCAACCTGGCAAACTGTGTTGCTATTACTATTCAAGTATTTTCAGGTTTGTATCAGTTTGCAGCAGCGGGAAGCTTCCGCTGAAATGTTCTGCAGCAACTACAATTAATTTAGCAGTCATTACTTCTGCATTTCAAATGCGGTTGCCATGCTAGATGTACAACAGGGTTAGTGTTTAGATGGAAAGAAACTGGCAATCTTTTTTACTTAAAGGTATCAAGAGACACTGTGGAGATGAACAACATAAGCCAGCGCTACAAACAACATAAGCCAGTCTCAACTAACAAAAACTGAGGGAATTGAGGTCAAAGAAGGCAGGACTGGTGTCTCAGATGCAGAATATGTGAAATTCCCACTAAAATGAGACAGAACTGTGGCTCAAACCGTGTAACTAACAGGCTGTAAAATGGCTTGACCTGTGATTCTTGCAGCTGAGAAGGCAGAACAAGGAATAGTACAGAGAAGGCCAGTTCCTCAAGCTGCTGTTATGCAGTACACGACACCGCTTGCCTTCAACACAGCCTGCTTTCCCTGGAACTTAATAGCCAAGAGTTTTAGGTGAGGACTATTTTTTTTGTTTTTGTTTTTGTGGACTGCAATAAAAGAGATGAAAGGTCCACATTCACTTTTTTCTTACACAATTATGTTTACATATATATGTTATAAAGTGGTCTTAATAGAAAAAGTATAAAAGAATGAATCAGAGAAATGAGACTCTAGTGTAACATCTGTTATACCTATTACAAGTACTGAGATTTTACACTTCTATCTTTAATGTATTTTTTCATACCCATAAAGACATTTCAACCATACTAAAATGAATGGTGTTATATTTTATTCAAACTTTAAAATGCATTTTTAAGATGACTTTGTATTTTTTATTAGCTAAATGGATATGTATTCAATAATGCCACGATTTAATTCTTAAAACATCAGCAAAAATATTACCCAACCTAAGCTGCACAATTTCCTGCATATAAGTATAGTGAACCTTGACAGAAATCTCAGCTGGCACCATAATGTGAATAAGCATGGTGCTACCACTTGCCAATACACTGAGAGCTGAATTCCAGGATAGGAAATTTGGATTAGCATCACAAAAAACCTATAAGACAACAATCCTGGTTTTAGAGTTAAATTTTTCAGAGACAGAAAGATATATTTATGGGGTATTTCTGTAATTAAATGAGCTCTATTCTTAATTATTAAGCACTGGAACATTTCAATAACACATTCTCCAAACATTGTTTTAAAGCTGCTTACATATATACTGCAAAAATGAAAAAATAATTTCAACTCAGTGAATATTTATTAAAATTCATAAAGAACTCCTTTTTCCATGAAAATATTCAGGAAAATAAATTATTTTCTTGAGATCTCCAGTAAGAAGCCTTGTTTGGAAAGGACTTTTTCACATACAACATGCTCAGAAGACTCCAGGTGGAAGCGAAGTTTCTCACAATTACTGACTGGGTTATTCACTCATTACTTTTATGTCTCATCTCTAATTCTCTTTACTGTTACCATAATGAAATAAAATTTCCTGTGGAGCTCCACCAAGGGAATGTGCTCAGGTGGGTGCCATCTCGGGACTCTGAGAATTTGCAATAATTAAATATTCTTTTGTTGCCAAAATCACCTGAGTGCTCAGAACGGATTAGGTCCAAGCCTGTTCCAGCTACACCAACACTGGTTACTGTCACTGCCAAAACACCAGAGTGCTCAAGGGGAGGGAGAAAAAGTGATATCAAGCAATGGGAAAGGACAAGATTTCACTCAAAAGATAAGACAAAAAAAAAAAAAGAAAAAAAAAAAAAGGAAAGAGAAGATAAGCAAACTAAAATAATAATAAAAAATAATACAGCATGGAAGTACAAAACCACAGGTGCCAAGAAGAACTGTCTGCTGAAAAGGTTGGCATGGTGGGAGAAGATGGATACAGCTGTGATAATATGGAAGAACTGAAAGCAGCCAACCTAATGTTGAAAATAAAGTTTAGAGTATAGTTGATATAATTACTCATTCTTTGAACAGCAACAGAATATAAAAAATACAACCGTGGATCAGAAATTAATCATGTAACTGCAAACACAGACTAAATACATATCATCTGTCCTTGTAATGCATATGGAGTGTTTTTTCTTGGATGGACAAAATGAATTATGTAAACAGACTTTGTCCAAGATAAATTTAAGCTCTGTAATTTGAACTAATGTAAAAAACTATGTGGTAATTTCATCCCAATTACCGATGATGCACTGAGTGGAGTGGCACAGACCAATGCAGACCAGTGCTCTGCAGCTGTCAGACAGACACAGTGCAGACAGCACACAGCCTAGCAGGGAAGTGTCTTCTGACGAAAATATGCAACACTGGTAAAAGTGTGAATTTACTGATGAAAGTCTACCTAAACTGGAGGTTTCTTGCACCAGAGCTGTATTGATCATGCCAGTAAAACTTAGAAAATGCTGAAAGCAGAGCTGGGAAGCCACTGTAGTTTTTGTTTTATTCTGTTTTGTTTGCATGTTAGCCAGCTACTTACACTACTATAAATTCCCATTGTAGAACAGGCAAATGACTTCCAGTCAGTAACTCTTTGAACTACTAACAGCCTAGAACTTGTTTTAAGCTCTCACCCATGCTGAAGAGACTTGTTTCAGGTTAAATGAGAGGACTGAGGAAGCATCAATATATATACTGAGAAAGCTGTAAGCAATAGGAGATCCTACCCAAAATCTTGCATGTCCTGAGCCAGACATTTCTGGAAGGATAAGTGCTCAGAGTGCTCAGGCAGTAACTGATGGGTGAACTATAATGTAGCTGGAGATCTGGAGATCTGATCAGAAGCTGAGCCATGTAGTAGAATCACTGAATCACAGAATCATTAAGGTTGGAATAAGACCTAAGATCATCTTGTTCAGCTATCAATCCATCACCATCATGCTCACTAAGCCAAATCTAGAAGTGCCACAAGAAGTGAGACAACAGGTTGGTTAAAAAAAAGGAAACAACAAAAGCAGCATAAAAGCCTAGGCATGTAACCACAGGAGGAAGCAGAGACTGAATTCCTGTTACAGAAGAAGGCTGGGGGACTTCTGACAGCAGAAGCCACTACCACCTGTGTACCTGTGTTCCACACTACAGAAAAACTAACAGATAAATTACCACTTTCTTCTCTAAGAATCACTTACTAGGAGTCAGCATCCCTGTAGAAGAGACTCCATCTGACAATTTAAGTCCACAGAAACATCTTTGCTGGCAAAGTTATTATACCAACAAAGCTCAATATACTGGTCAACAGAATATTAATCTTTTGGTGAAGTGTGAAGAAAAAGAAGATTTACAGCAGAGGTCACAAAGAAGAGCATTTCTAAGTGACAAAAACAAGTTCTTGGAATCATTTAGGATGAGGTAATACTAGAAAACTGCAAAACATTGACAACCTTGTAAAAGAGGGAGAAATTAATTTCAACTCATCTCATTGGAGTACAGTGTAGGAACACTCCTTACCTCATCAAGACATCTTTCATACTGTTCTCTCTGATTTTCATTTTCCAGAGCCAGTGCTGAATTCTCTGCCTACAACAAAGCACAGTAAATAAATAAATCTATAAGTTAATCAACAGGTATGTTGAAAACATAACAGTTCATAAAAAACCTTAGTGTGCAATTCTTCAAGATTCAAACTAAAAATGCACCACGTAATTTTGTGTGCAAACTTCAAAATAGCAGAATCTGGTACGTAAATTATGAGAAATCAACATATTTTTCTATATATTATGAACTTGAATTTAGGAATACTATCAGTATTGAAAAAGGAAAATCTCTTAAGTGAGCTACACACAGTTGCATCAGAATGTGTTTCAACTGATTTTCTTTTAAAGATTGAGAAGCTAAAATAAGGCTCAAGAAAGCTCTTTGTCTCCCATGCATAACTTCACATTATGTAACCATAACACCAGTCACCACATTCAGATAATTACAGCTATTAAACCATTTACTCTACTTGTTTCATTTTAAGTGTTCTGTCAGTCTACAAAAGCTTAACAAATGCTGTTTCAAAAGAACTGTGGATATACAATACAACAGCCATAAATCTAGCTAGTATTTATAATTTGAGAGGAAAATTTAATGTAATTTACTGTATAGAAAGATGCTATGGAAAGATGCACAGTTATCACTTCTATTTTAAGAAAGGTCAATGATTCAGCAAAATGAAAATCCCAAAGTCCACTAAACTGAGTTACTAACAAGTATTCTAAAATCAGATAAATTATAAAAATAAGATTAGAAAGGAAGAGTAAATGTATGCAATCTTCCAATATATTGAGAGAAAGGAATAAGAGAGAGGTAAGAAAGAAGGACATATGGAGTTTATTTATTTACACGTGTAAATAAACAACCGAGTGGAATTAGTGCTTTATCTTGTAGTTACAGCCAAAGCTAGCAAAGGTGGTAAAATGCTTGGTACCATTATTTTCCCAATTCTTCCTTCCAATGGATTCAGCACATCGCTATAAAAAACCTGTGGGTGATCCTGCAGGGAGAACTGTGAGATGATGGAGCAAAAAATACAGATGCAGAATTAAATAGCGAAGTAGAAGCAGAGCTGCAAAAGCAGCAGTAAGAAATCAGAAGCTGGAGAGTAAACAGTCCTCCCTACTGAAGACATCATCATATACAGTTATCAGTTCGCTTTTACAGATGCATTCCAGCAGATTGATTGATAAAAATAAAGAGATGATTGCTACATAAAAATCTATTTCTGTGAGTTAAAGATCTTCAGATGTTTTCTCTATGACTATCACCTTAAAATGTCATCCAAAATAAATACTTCCTATTGTTCTGAAGAAACCATTAAAGGATTAGTCTGCAAGGCACTTTCACTTATTCATGGTGTACCTAAGCATTTAATTATTTGAATTTTCGTTTTCACTAACATAAAAATATACTGTGTGAATAGTCAGAAAATAGTTGAGGCAGATTTCTTCCATACACAGATGTCTGAAGGAACTACTACATACACTTGCACAATACAAAATACCCAGAGAAATCCCCATTATTTCTCTTACTCCTTTTTTTACTCTTCAAATGCTGTGAGGTTTCAAAATGGAAGCTAATCCAGCTTGGATTGTTAGCTGAATCTCTGATTTCAGTGAGCTATTTGGTAGCCTATCTCTGAAGGAAATTAGGAAACTTGAACTTGACAGCATTATAAATAAACGGTATGTTTCTTCTCTTATCAAGCCATAGTGGAAACATCTGTATAATAACACCCTTTTCACAACAGTGGCTTTGAAAGTGCAGGGAAAGGATCTAATGCAGTCAGTGTTAGCTCAACTTCAGTGCTTCTTGATTGCTGAGCAAATCATGCCCACTTATTTGGCATTTTTGTAATGAGGACTGGACTAGGAGGGAACACTTGATCGATTTTGTTTAAGATTCTGCATCAGGGAAAACCACGGCTTGATACACAAAATCACTCTATACTGCAACTGACTACTTGATAATAATCCACATTCCCCCAAAAGTATTCATTTAGAAAATGTTTAATAGCACTTGTGGTCTCAAAACCCTGCCTCCTCAACCAGATCTTCATTTATTTAACAGAAACCACTGGGCTTTGTTATTGTAAACCTCCTCGTTCCCACTCAGAGGGATCTGCCCTCCATTACTGCACATTCTGGCATCCTCTGCCAGACAGGCAAAATAGGTCTCCTTGGAGAAAATCCCTATCCCATTTTATTTTCATTTTCAGGCCATGCTTTCTCCAAGCTAAGCCACAATAAGCAGCTCACACTTCTCACAGCATTAAAGCTGTTGCACCCAGAGGCAGTGGTAGGGAAGTACTGACTCCTGTGCAGTCCTTTCTCCCACCCATAACCAAACAACAACAGCAAAAAGCTGGATTACTGAGGAAGGCACCCTCTTAGATACCACCTGATTTCCATGGTGATTTCTAGTTGTAGGCAAAGCGACCAACTAGGAATTTATGTATATTTTGTGTTACACATGGAAATAAAATGCCTCTCTCCTTCAGCCTCACAAACACTACTTGAGATGCAGACTAGCAAACTGCTGCAGAAGCACAACGTTCATCTCCTACAAATGTGTTTTCCTGGGGTATGATCCTTTCGGTCAAAAATACCTGTGGCATAAGTTACCATTACATGAAACACTGCATGGGGCTTTTGGATCATTACAGGCATAAGGCTCCTACAAATGTCAAAACCGAGGTGCTTCTTACTTCTAATTTGAAAAAAAATATTCCTCCTCAAAGTGTCTCCAAACATTGGAAATTTCAAGATTTCAGTCAAGATTTGGGTGATGCCAGACAGCTTTCAACTCTTAGAGACCACTGCCTTCTGAGTTGTGAGAGTGAGTTCATGGAAAATCAGTTTGAAAGTGAGAACTTCAGATTAGTTCATATAAAACAGAAGTTGCCTTTTATTACAAGAGACTTTCTCAACTCTGATTTTAATCCTTTCCTCAGGAGGGAAAACAGCCCCATAGATGAAGATGTGGATCAGCAAAGACTTCTCTTTCCTTCATGGATGCTGAAGAAACTGTATTTCCGTCTACTTGCACCTGTGTTTGCAACTGTATTCCCATTTATTTCCTATTTTATCTGAGACGACTAACAGGCAGACTGTACACTTGATACACTGAGGTGCACTCCTGCTGAAGTTGATATTAATCTGTTGTTTATTTTCCATGAATGCAGACACATACCAGATGCAAAGAAAACCTGTATTTGTTTTCACATGACACAGTGTTTCCTTAAAATCAACTATTTTTTCTTTGGGGCAGGAAGAAGCTTCTTGGTTCACAGCGATTTGTTGCTCTAGATGCTAGAGAAGAAATGAGGAGACAGAAGGCAGCTTTAGCCTTTGTCATGTTTCTGAGAAGGTGCTACTATACTGGATTAGTAAAGGCAGGCCAATTAATTAAAATTTTAAAAGAGTAAAATGGTGATGATAATTAGCTCTAGGTCACCTTAACCACAACACACAAGGAACATAAATTCAAGCAGTACAATCACGTCAACATCAAACTCTTATTGAAAGCATCTTCACTTGAAGTCTCAAATACAATCTCCAACATATCCTGAACTCTTTTGCTAACGAATAACAGAACACACTACAGCTTTTTGCCTGACAGAAAAACACCAAATCCCTCTGCTAACAGCCCCCAAAACAACAGGAATTGCTGCCTCCCCAAAGGCCTTCATTAGCAGTAGGCTCTGAGCTGAAAAATGCCCAGCTCCCTTCTAGCTCACAGTTTTTTTCTGAATTTATACGTTCAAAGCACAAGATATCCTCACTCACACCAACAGTGTGGCACCACCTTTCAGCTAAATAATGCTAGACTAAAAATAGCTGAAAATCAACATGCTTATAACAAATATGCTCATATCGATACAGACATTTAGAGATGATTACTTCCATTCTGTCCTCTTCCCTTTTAACTATTTTAGAGGCATAAAGCAGGTTTAGCTGCCTACCAACTATAATTTGTTCCACACTTAGTGGTGTTTACAAGTGGCAGACACACTGCCACGTCTGAGAATGCCACGAGACAGCACATCTCCCCTAGCCTTGCAGCTACAAGTGGCACTTAAGAGGACAGCTTTCTCTTATCATCCTGTAAAAGCCGTTCCTACGCACTTCTCAGAAGGACTGAAATACTTAAAACGTGTTTGAAAATGAGATTTGAATTTGCTCCTCTACAGAATTTTCAAAAAGCTTAGCCTTAACCTTTATGTCCTTTGATTTATTAAGCTGAAAGAACACTAACAACATTTTGTTGTCTAGCCTGTTCCGATGCGTTATGAATTAGGATACAATGGGTACATTGGGCTCTTTAAGTGATGAATTATTTCATGTACCTGTTAGGGAGTCTTCAAGAAGCAGTCCTCTACACTTTTATAACCACAATGAAATGAATTACGCCACTTCATTTTCTACCAGAAGACACGGATAAAAGAAGCACACAAAACCAGATTTCCTCATTCAACCATTGAGACAACATGAAAGGATGGGGGAAGGAAGAGATAAGAAAGGGAAGGAGAGTAAGCATTTACTTTGCACTAAGGGAAAAGGAGATGAAGGTCTAAAGGTTGTGTGTCAAGTTAGCAGCTCAACGTCCTTTGAAGGTACCATCAATAAAGGTCAAGAGGAACTAAGTTATGACAGTGAACTTTAAAATCTCTGACAGAACACTACAACACCAGTTACCACGTGCAGTTCTTTGTTATTCATACTTAGCCATTAGTGCATTTACAGAAAGGTTTATTGATTTACACATACACTCATTTGTCATGTCCTGTGCGGTATATTAATAGCTGTCCAACCACCTCAGAAGCGCTCAGCAGCTTTTTTCATGCTTTCAGCCTCCGATTTTGTATATTTCTGTGGTCATGGCTGCATACAGCAATACTAGATGTCAAAGCCCGTTGTTAAAAGTAAGTAGCAAAGTTACTGCAATATTTCTATATGTGCTTAGGGGATTTTTTTTCTGCTAAGCTGCCACTCTAAGAACAGCTTACCACTTGAACCACTCTGTATCATTAGTTGCAG